TACACATGTAAATGCCTGTCTGGGAGTGTTTACTTACATATATTTTACTCACAAGTACATTGCTCCCAGATCTAATGCACATGTAGACACACCCCCACCCAGAAAGTACTAAGCATCTTACTGTCTGCTAATTAGACCCCTTTAAAAATAAGAAAATGTCAATATACATTCTTGTGAATTTAGGCCATTTTTATTATAATTCTGATAGTTAACATATGTAATATATCAAGGGGGCCTTTACAGTCTAGTATGCCATAAGAACCTAAATCAAATCCTTCATTCTTTTATAAAATGGACAAATTAACACGTTGCAACAAGTTAAAAGGGTTCAGAGTCTATTGCATATCTGCTTCTTTGTGGTAACTATTGTCCATCTACACTTATTCCCAGGGTAGGAAGTTTAACCTTACGTGAAATAGGTTTGCACTACCAGGGTTTACCTTTTGGATAAGAGTAGGCATGTGTACAATTACCATGGGACAGCTGGTGCACAGCAAGTCCCCATCCCTTTTGAACTTGTTGTTATTTGTTTTCTATATCTTTATTCTTAAGCAGTCCTTAGTCTCATAGGGATGATTGAAGGTAATGGCACTACTTGCATGGAATATGGGGAAGCATTATAAGGTCCTAAATTAAAAGCATCAGAAATGTCATAATCATTTTGATGGTACATTAAGCAAGGGAAAATATTTATATGGTTGTTTTACTTGTAGAGAAAGCTTCTTTGCATTTTAGAACATATGAACATAAAGCCCTTTGTGGGGGCCGAGGGGGATCCAGGAAGGGGTCGGCTGGGTTGTGGCCACAAACCCAGAACGTACAAATGGGTACTTTCGACCGCTGGAGTAGAATTAGGCACAAACGCGTACTGGTTCAAACAAAGATGGCTTTACTTACACTGTCGAGATGTACAGCGTAGGAAGAAAGTTAACTTCAAACTTCAGTTACAGTTTAACTGAGGAGCTCTGATGAGACGAGATATCTTTAACACGAGCATGCAGGACACAGGGGTACGTTGGGGTGGTCGACGACGGGGAGTCGTCAGCGGTTGATCAGTCCGCCACATTCACTCTGAGATGGGCGCGGAGTTCCCCAACTTGGGCGGAAACTGCTCCAACCTTTTATACGGCTAGCGAGCCAATTGCTAGTCGCCACGTAGGAATAATTTAGAGCCGGCCAATAGTAATGTGTAAATTTGCATATAAGTGGCGGGAACCTTTCCACGCCAGGGTTCTCCACCGTGCCGAGAAGTTCCCTCGTACAAAATCTCACCGTGCCTTGTGCTAGAAAGTTCCACTGTGCCGAGGCACTCAACCACTAAGCTCTGCTCTGACACCCTTGATCTTTGATTTCTTCACAATGCTGTAGTGCAAAAAAAGATAATGACCATAATACCATTAATGATATTCGCTAGTTACTAAATAAAAAAACACTGGCAAAGATTTCTTAGGGTGATTTTTTTATTGGGCCAACTATGTAGTTGAGATAAAGTTAGATAAGCTATCAAATGTAAGACATTCTTCATCAGGTTTCATTTTTACACTATCATTTCCAACACTGGCATTTTCTGGCTTGGTCTTGAGCAGAAAAAAAAAATGTACACAAATAAAACTGTGAACTTTTTACATTTATGTGGTTATTTTTTCCATCCATAAGAGTTGGCAACCTGGCCTTTAGGTCTTTACATAACTTCAATTTCTGAATATGCATGTTGATGAAAAATAGTTATGTATACAAACTCCTATACCTAGAGTTACCATACATCTGGGTTTTCCCGGACATGTCCTCTTTTTAGGTCCTCCCATCTCCATCTGGGAGGGTTTTTTTTAAATATGATCCAATGTCCAGGATTTTGGTCAGCTCAGCTTTGAAGTTTTTCCTGGCTTGGCCTAGCAAGGAGCTGCTTGGACCTGTGGGGGAGCCAGGGGAGAGCAACTAGAGGCAAGGCACGCACTCATGTAGACTGCATGCAGCTTGGCAGGGGTGTGGGAGCAGCCTAACAGGTGCATGCAAGTAAGTCTGTGGGGGGGTGGGAGGCAGAGGGCCAGGGCTTGGGGCCTGTCCGGGGTGTGTGTGTGTGTGTGTGTGTGTGGCAGGGCTGTGTGGAGAGGATTGGTGTGTGTTGTGGATGGGTACCTGTCAGTAGAACAGGGGAGGTGTGGGAGGATCCTATCCCCCCAGTGGGGGAAGGGGGAGGGAGGCACTTCAGGGACAGCAGGGAGCTGTGTGGCCAGGCCAGCAGCACCGGGGCCTGTTCGCTTGCTTGCAGGGGTGGGACAACCAGGAGATGCTACAGGGATGAAGGGAGAGGGGGGCTACAAGTTGGGAGTGAAAAGCACCAGCAGGGTTGGGGGGGATTGTGGGTTGGGAGTGCGGGGCACTGGCAGGCCCAGGGGACCAGGGGTTGGGAATGAGGGGTACCAGCATGGCCCAGGGGTACTGCAAGGTACTTCAGACTGGGAGTGAAGAGCACTGGCAGGGCCAGAAGCCTGTGGATCAGGAGTGAGGGGCAGCAACAGGGCTGGGCAGGCTGTGGCTTGGGGGTGAGGGGCAACAGAATGAGCTGGGAAGGGCACCAGCATATCACTACCCCTCACAATCATATACCCCTCTCCACCCCACATTGGCTATGCATAGGGGGTGCATGCAGGTGCACGTGCACCCCCTGAGATTGGCCGTGACCCCCCTGGAAGCACCAGCTGTGAAACCGGAAGTGCCAGTGGAAGTGTACTTCTGGTTTTGCCACTGGTGGTTTTGTGCTCAGTGATTGGCCCCTGGACACACCCTCCCCCCCACCCTGCCCCCCCACATCGGCAATCTGGTGCCTCCCCCGGACTCGGGAGGCACCAGTCGCCCATGCCACCCTGCATGACAGATGTCTTCTTTTTTGGAACTGGAAATACAGTAACCCTACTTATAACAGCACTTCATTGAATAAATACTTGCACACGCACTGGATTGTTTCTATAGCCAATAAGATGGGTTTTAAAGCATAGTATAGTCAGATCTCTCTTTCTTAAACTGAAATGCAACCCCTTGAAAAAAAAACTCCTACCTATTAACCACCAACATTAATTCAGTGTGAAACAAAAAGTGGTGGTCAAAAGCAGGAGGCATCATAGCATCCCATTTAAATGTCAGAAAGTTGTTCGCACAACTTTCACTCTGGCCAAAATATGAAAGTTGCCATATCTGTTCTTACTAAAAGTGTCTTGGCCCTTCTCACAGCCCCCATTTTGTGTAACATCTAAAAGCAATTTCCGATGCTGGCAGGTTAGTTACTTAGAAGGAAGAGTAATAACTGCATAGCTGCCAACTTGAACAATCATTCCGATGTAGGATTTCCATAAAGGTTTTCTCAGTTAAGTATTAATCAAGCCAGACCATAATGTACTTGAGAAGATTACAGTCCAAGCTCACACAGCAGCCACAATCTCAAAATATTAGCGGCTACATTTTCAAAAAGAGAAGGACACAGAGCTTGCCATCCTTAATCGTGTCTGTAATCACAATTAAGCAAATCTAATTGTATAGGTCATTTGCAGTAACATACCAGCAGCACTCCCCTTTTAAAAAAAAAAATTAAATGTATTTCATACAAATACACTGTGTGTCCAATGCTCTGATGATTTATTTTGTGGCATAGAATCATTGACTTCAGTTTAGATTTGCTAATTTGCTTCATCCAGAGATCTCTGCATACTCTATAGCATGTTATTTTCTATATATACCCACTGTAAGAGACAAACAAAGAAAGAATTGCTGTGCTCTTACAGACTTCATAAAGTTATATTAATATATCATTTGAAGGGTAAATTTTGGAAATATTTTACTTATTTTCCTTGCAACACATATGGAAGACTCCCTTCCTTTCTTTCCAGCTATCCCTAAGTACAAATGGAATGCCTCTTTTTAGGCCCAAATGTATCTTGGAGCCTCTGAGGTACGATGTTCTTTTTCAATCATGAATTATTTACTTCAGACATTGTTGTACATAAAACAAAAGTTATAAGAAGCATTACTCATGACCATAATAATAAGAATTTATAATCTTCCTACCTTATTATTTTTCTTTGTTCCTCTCTTGGAGATCTTTGTATCGTGTTGTGCTCCAAGCTGAGAAGCATTTTTCTTCCAAGTCTTTTAGACATAGCCCTTCTCATCCACTATTACTTATAAGTCCACAACTAAAATCTTACTTCCTAATATACGTAATACATAACAAAAACAACAGAATGTTCTCACTTAGTCATTTAGCTATTTCTCCTCTTCAAACTGTCAACAGCTTCTTGACTGAAATACTGCAATCCATTTGCTCCTTTATTACATTCCCAAAGAATAATTTGCCTGTAACTCTTGGAACTGAAGATACAACACTTATTTTTTTTTTGGCTATTCCACCATAGAAATAAGCTTCTCAATAAAAAAGATTAAAACAACTTTGGTGAAAAATATTACTTTTCGCATTTACAATACTTCATCTTGGGGCTAAACAAGACTTTGAAGAGAGCTATGGCTGCTGATTTTAATATACATGTGTGGGTTATTTATGGTTTTTTCACCCATATTTACATTCGGATCTTCATATTCTCCATAAATATAAATAAAAGCAGTTCTATTTACTTCAGTGGATCTTTGCCCATTTACACCTGCTAAATATTTGGCCCAGGAAATTATAAGTTTGACTTTATTAGGACATACCACATATATTGGTACTTCTAAGGAACACAGCTAGGCATCTTGACTGACTTGTACTTATTTAATTTAGGCTCAGATTTTCAAAAGTGTTTCTGTATACTGCAATTTACATTCAATAGAGTTGTATGAATAATGCCCAACATGAACACAAATTTGAAGATTTCTGTACACATCTCTAGGTCTGTCTGCATGCCTGACCTATCGATGCATAGATTACTTACATGTCCTTTTGGAAAATCTGGCTTGGGACTAGCAAAGCCTCATTTGCTTTTGCTCGGTATGTAGCTGTTCTGTGGAGGGCTCTGGTCTTCATGAATGTCAATCTAGCAACGTGGAGGAACAGAAAAACAAGAACATTTCTACCTTAACTCCTCTTTGGGAAATACAAATTGGAGT